AAGACACCCTGAAACTTTTGCTCTGAGATAATCTTTAAACCTTAAAGCAAAAATATCCCCTGAAATCTTTTTAAAACCAATAAATAGTTTAGCTTAACTAGTAAAAAATGTCTACCTTGAGCATTTTGCTCTTTTAAGAACTATTTGTATGGGATGAAATTAACAACAGAAACTTGAAAAATTAGATAGGAACCTTAGGAGGCAGTGAGTTAATGTTAAAAATGTTAGGTGCCAACAAGTTGGTTCCAACTCATAGCGACCCTCTGTACAACAGAATGAAACACTGCCTGGTCCTGCACCATCTTCATAATCATTGTTATGCTTGAGCACGTTGTTGCAGCCACTGTGTCAGTCCATCTCGTTGAGAGTCTTCCTCTCTTTCGTGACCCTCTACTTTACCAAATATGACGTACTTCTCCAGGGACTGCTCCCTCTTGATAACATGTCCAGATATGTGAGATGAAGTCTCGCCATCCTTACCTCTAAGGAGCATCATGGCTGTACTTAATGGGGGAGGGACAGCTGAGAAAGGGAGGATGAGAAAGGTTGCACAACTTCAAGAGTGTAATCAATGTCACTGAATTGTACACGTATAGATATGATTGAATTGGTAATATGTTTTGCTGTGTATATTCTCAACAACAAAATAAAAGCAAAACAAAATAATCCCTGAATTTAAGTTCAGTTAAATTATATTAAATTGAGTCCAGTTAAATTATATAAATTATAAATTATAGTTCAATTAAATTATTGAGTTCGGTTAAATTGCATAAATGCCTTTAATTCTTTTTTGATTTTTGATAAATAGGACTTGCACTTTTAAATAAACAATTATTTTGATTTGAGAGCAACTGAAAAACATTGTGAAACCTAAAATGTTCGATATGTTGTCTTTTAAACCTCAACTATTTAAAGTATTCTTAAGGAATTCTTAGAGGAAATTTGATAAATATCTTGCAAGCTCAATCTTGTATAACAATTAAAAACTCAATTTTACTGTGACTCTTTCCCCCTGAATATTATTTTCATACCCAATTTTTGTAATGTGGTTAATATAGTTAACCACCAACATGATCAAGGTTAAATTGATTTAAATATTTATCATCCTTCAGAGATGCCCTTTATCACCACTCTTATTCATCATTGTGCTAGAGGTCCTAGCCAGAACAGTTAGGCAAGAAAAAGAAATAAAATGGCATCCAAATTGGTAAGGAAAAAGTAAAAGTATCCCTATTTGCAGATGAAATGATCTTATACACGGAAAACCCCAAAGAATCCACAAGAAAACTACTGGAACAAAATAGAAGGTTTCAGCAAAGTTTCAGGATACAAGATAAACGTACAAAAACCAGTTGGGTTCCTCTACACCACAAAAGAGAACTTCGAAGAGGAAATCACCTGATCAATATCATTTACAATAGCCCCCAAGAAGGTAAAATACTTAGGAATAAATCTAACCAGAGATGTAAAAGACCTATATAAAGAAAACTGCAAGACACTATTGCAAGAAACCAAAGAAGACCTGCATAAGTGGAAAAACATACCTTGCTCATGGATAGGAAGATTCAACATTGTGAAAATGTCAATTCTACCCAAAGAGATCTACAGATACAATGTAATGCCAATCCAAATTCCAACGACATTTTTTAACGAGATGGAGAAACAAATCATCAACTTCATATGGAAAGGGAAGAGGCCCTGGATAAGTAAAGCATTACTCAAGAAGAACGAAGTGGGAGGCCTCACACTACCTCATTTTAGAACCTGTTATACAGCCACGGTAGTCAAAACAGCCTGGTACTGGTACAACAACAGATACATAGACCAATGGACAGAATTGAGAATCCAGACATAAAGTCATCCACTTGTGAGCAGCTGATATTTGACAAAGGCCCAAAGTCCGTTAAATAGGGAAAAGACAGTCTCTTTAATAAATAGTGCTGGCATAACTGGATATCCATCTGCAAAAAAATGAAACAAGACCATACCTCACACCATGCACAAAAACTTAACTCAGAATGGATCAGAGACCTAAATATAAAATCAAAAATGATAAAGATCATGGAAGAAAAAATAGGGACAATGCTGGGAGCCCTAATACATGGCATATACAGAATACAAAACATAATTAACAGTGTACAAACACCAAAAGAGACACTAGATAACTAGGGGCTCCTAAAAATCAAACACTTATACTCGTCAAAAGACTGAACCAAAAGAGTAAAAAGACAACCTACAGGCTGGAAAAATTTTTGGCTATGACATATCCAATCAGGGTCTAATCTCTAAAATCTATAAGATACTGTAAAACTTCAACAACAAAGAGACAAGGATCAATTAAAAAATGGGCAAAGGATATGAACAGGCACCTCACCAAAGAAGACATTCAGGCAGCAAACAGATACATGAAAAAAAACTTTACGGCTCATGTTAGTTCTCATACAAAAATTTATACACACATTCTTATGTGACCCTAGCTGCTATCCCTGTAATGTGACCACACACTCCTCCTTTCCACCCGGGGTTTCCCGTGTGCATTTAGCCAGCTCCTGACCCTCTCTGCCTTCTCATCTCGCCTCCAGACAGGAGCTGCCCATGTAGTCTTGTGTATCTACTTGAACTAAGAAGCATACTCTTCACGAGTATCATTTTATGTCTTATAGTCCAGTCTAATTTTGTCTGAAGAGTTGGCTTCAGGAATGGTTTTAGTTCTAGGTTAACAGAGAGTCTGGGGGCCATGTCTTCTGAGGTTCCTCAGTCTTAGACAATTAAGTCTGGTCTTTTTATGTGAATTTGAGTTCTGCACCCCACTTTTCTCCTGCTCTGCGTTTCCTGCAAAGAGACTTGTATTTTATCTTAGTTTTTTAAGTGGATTGTCTTTGTATTATTTCTGTAGGCTTCTCATGCATGGATTGCATTTATTAAAAAATAAATTAGTACTCAGGAGATGATATATCAGCAGTATTGGAAAACTGAAAAGTCACTTGTATGGTGTTAAAATCCTCATTTCTCATGTACAAATGGAAACTGGTAAATCAAGACTTCTGAAGGTTCTGATGGTGCTGTTCCCAATCTCAAGGATGCTTATTTCAGATGACTTTCTAACTATAAATAGTAAAAGCCTGTTGATGAAATCCTGGAAATTAATTTGCCGTCTTTTTTTTTTTTTTAAAGAAGAATTTCTTTTTTTCTACTTGTAACTGCTAAAAGGAAATTGATTCATTTCTTCTTTAATAATCTTTGTGTTTTTGTCTTTTTTGGACAGAGATTCTGAAAGACTACATCAAACAAGATGGGGAATATTTGGAATTGTTTGCTCGAAATTTACAGCCAGGTTGGACTAGTTGGGGCAATGAAGTTCTCAAATTTCAGCACGTGGATTATTTTATTGCTATGGAGTCTGGAAACTGACTATGATTTTGATCAAAACAGAGGTTTTCTTCAGTTTTTCCTCCCTTCTCCCTTCATTCTTACTCATTACCTTTTATTACTAACCAGTATGCTTAGAAATGTAAATAGGACTTGTATTTCAGCAAAATGACCAGAATTGACTAGCCTTCGTGTAGTTTTGAGATGAATTTTACTTCAGTTGCCCTGGTATTCCATTTTTTTCTAGTCTCTCTACAAATAAAGCGGTAGACAGTTAAAAAGGTGGCAAGATGATATGCTATTCAAAAAGTTCAGGAAGTAGACACTGTGAGTCAAAGGTCATAACCTGCTTATGGATGTATTTTGTTTGGTCCATATAGTATTATAAAAAATTTTTTTGAGCCATTACTGTAAAAAATCAGGACATTTTACATAAAAGTCCAGATTTCTGCTTCCCTTTAAACATCAGCAGTGCTGGCTGCTGAGGCCTTTGCTTTCTCATGGCCTCAGTCTGCTGGCCCTAGTGGTAGTCACTCACTTCACAAGGGCCTGCATGCTTTAGCTTACCGCGGTGCCACCAACTCTGTCCCACTTGTTTATATTAGCTACTTGGCCCAGGTATGACCTGAATTTGCAACCTCTAGTATTCTGTTACCTTCTGGAAAAAGTGCCATAAAGCCTGCAAAGTATTGCATCAGTGTATTGAGTTTATGCAGCATTTTTGGAGGTTTTAAAACTTTTCAACTATTCACTTTTCAAACATATTAACTTTTCAAACACTTCTTAGTTTTGCTTGTTTTCTAGAAGAAAATTAAAAAAAAAATTTCTTATAAAAATATCAGAAAATAAACATTGTTATGATTATTAACAAAGTATTTGTATTATTTACAGATTGTCTACAAATAAGTATTTGCTGAGTAAAATGTTTTGACTGAAATGATTTTTTGAAAAGCTGACTTATTATGTATTACCTTTTAAAAAACTGAAGCATAATTTTCACCTAGTAAAATCCCGCAGTTTTCAGTGTAGAGTTGAATGAGTTTTGAAAATGAATACAGTTGTCTATCTACTACCTTAGTCATGATATAGAACATTTTTGTCACTCCACCAAATTCCCATGGGTCCCTTTGCAGTCAGTCTCCTCCTACCCCTTGCCCTTGGCTAGCAATGAATGACCTGCTGTCTGTCACTAGTTTTGATTTTTTAGAATTTTATATAAATGCAGTTATGCAGTATGTAATCTATTGTCTGGCTTCTTTCACTGAGCATTTTGAAAAAAGTATATGATGTACAGATTTTCTCCAAATATTTATCTACTAAGTAAAATGTTAGACTGAAATGATTCTTTGACAAGCTTGCCCATTTATTGATTTTGTAAAAGAAAAACATTCTTTTTGAAGTTTGTTTATCCTTTGAGTGTGAGTATAGTATCAGAAGTTTAACTTTTTAGAGATATTCTAGCTTGTTATTTAAAAGGAAAAAAGTATTAAAGCAAACTTCTTTCACAACCTCATTTGAAACTCTTTTCAGCTTTTTATGGTGTTTATAGATTTCGTATAATTTGTGGAAACATCCTCACCAAGTTTTTTGACTTTTAATTTTACATCATAAATACTGGCACTTAAGAGAGAAAAAGAAATAGTTTTATTCAATAAGTCTGGTATTCAAGTGGCATGAGTTCTAGTATTAGCTCTGCTCTTAAATTGTATAATCTCTGGGCCTTGTTTGTAAAACATCTGTTTAATCATTGGGTTATATTTTGAACAAAGGATGATTCTGCAAAATATAACAGTAACACTTTATGAGAGCCAAAATGCAGTGGTGAGAGATTGAACTTTGACTTCATTACCAACTGACCTAATGAACCTAAATATTGTAAGGCATTGCTTAGGGCTTTTTATATTACCTTTATAACTTACCAGAATTTTGTGTTTTTTCTCTCATATTCTTTTTACCAGTTTAAGGTCTCTAAGACTCTTTGATTAAGTAAAAAGTTCAGAAAAAGAAGAGGGAGCTAACATTTGTTGAATGGTATGTGTTAAAGTCTGTGCTGTGCTCTTTACATATTTTGCATTGTAGTTAATTCTTGCACACCCCTGTGAGGTGGATATTATTCCCAAGTAGTGTTTTAGAAAGCTGAAACCCAAGGAGAGTATTTTGTCCAAAAACACATAAGTATTGAAACTATTAGCCCATGATGTATTCTACATAAGAACATGGAAAATGGAGCAAATGATTAAGATTTCTAGTGATACCATTGCATAGTCTGTTCCTTCTAGCTCTAGAGTTTGGGTTGATTTGAGCTTACTTTAGAGAACATGAAATCATAATGGGCATCCAGGGCAACCAGTAAAATAAAGCCTCCCAGACATTTTGCCACCACATGGTTAGTGGCTGACAACCCTCAGGAAACTCTGGGAAATTGTGCCTCATAAGGTCATATCCTTCTCCTGACATTCTTTCACCCTCCCACACAGGGTCAATTCTAGAGTAAAATAACAAATACTCTTTTGGAGGCAGATCCTCTTTAACTTGATCATTTCTGTCACTTGTCTTCCTTTCTTGTTCATCCTTTATTTGTACCCTCTAGTCAAAGTTCATATAGGGTCACTATGAGACGGAATCGACTCGACGGCAACGAGTTTGGTTTTTTTTTGGGGTTAGTCAAAGTTCAAGTTAGGTTTTTTTTAAATTTCTCTTGGCCACCATAGGCACATAGACCTTTTTTATATATAAGGCAGTACCTTGAATTAGAATCCAGACTGTGATAAAGAGGACCTTTTACAAGGTCCTTATAAAAGGAAAAATTGAAAAGCAGGCGGTCCAAACAATAATCATAAGTAACATTTTTTGAGTGCTTACAATATTCCAAGCACTATTCTCAGTGCTTTACATGGATTAACTCACTTAATCCTCCTAGCAATCCTATGAGGTATGATTATTACCCCAAACTATAGGTGGAGAAACTGAAGCTAGAGACTTAACTAACTTGTCAAAGTCAAAAGCTAGTGTCATGGATTGAATTATGTCCCCCCAAAAATGTGTGTGTCAGTTTGCTTGGGCCATGATTTTTGGCATTGTGTGATTTTCTTATAAGTTGTAAATCCTGCCTCTATGATGTTAATGAGGGAGGATGGGTGGCAGTTGTGTTAGTGAGGCAGGACTCAAATCTACAAGATTGGATTGTATCCTGAGGCAGTCTCTTGAGATATAAAAGAGAGAAGTGAGCAGAGAGACATGGGGACCTCATACCACCAAGAAAGCAGTGCCAGGAACAGAGTGTGTCCTTTGGATCCAAGGTCCCTGCATGGAGAAGCTCTTAGTCCTGGGGAACACTGATGAGAAGAAGGCCGACAGAGAGAGAAAGCCTTCCGCTAAAGCTGGTGCCCTGAATTTGGACTTCTAGCCTACTTTACTGTGAAGAAATAAATTTTTCTTTATTAAAGCCATCCACTTGTATTTCTGTTATAGCAGCACTAGTTGACTAAGACAGCTAGTAAGTGACAAAGGTGGGGCTCAAGCCTAGACAAGTTGGCTTCAGATTGTTCAGACTACTTACCTGTTACCCAACCAGTTTTTCTGTCTAAACATCCTTTTTTCATAATCTCGTTCTTGGGATTAGATTTAATAAACTGCACCTGATTTTGTATATGAGAAAGCTATGAACGCTTCCTTTATTTCCATTTGGTTCTATCTAAGAACAAAGACAAAGTCCACAATGTGACTTTGGGACTTCAACTCTTCGCACACTGCCATGCTGACCGTGAGCTGTGTTGCTGCTTCATGTTGCTCTTTGTTGACTTCCACAATGCTTAATAGATGGCCTTTTACTGTTCTTCTCTATTCAGGGCCTTCAGCCCAGGCCACATTAATTTTGGTTCATAATGGATTCACTTTACTAGAGAGGCTACAAAACTGATGTTTCTGTGCCACCCAAGGGTTTTTCTAGTTGACTAAGTCATAGACCAGATAAAAATAAGGCCTCTTTCTTCAGATGATCTAAAGACACCAGTAGAGAATAGGTTTCTCCTCTTGGATATCAGCATTTGAGGGAGGCCAACATCACTGTGGGCCGGTGGCCTTCTTGGAGGAAGACACTACAGAGAGGCCTGGAGGAGATGAGTCTGTACTTAGCTCTGGGCCTGGCTTTAGTCTCTGCCCTTACTCTGTCTTTAGTATAGGCTCTACCTTGTGCTGTTCTAGTCCTCAAAATTCCATGACTTAAACTTATGTACACCAGAAAATCCTAGTTCTCCAAATCTTACCTTTTCAGGCTTACTACCCTAGAGACACGTTCTTTAGCAAATTTTTATGTATTCGACTTCAGTGAGACACTAGGTTTTCAGCAGATTGTGATCCAGAGGAAGATTATAATTACCTTAAGGGGGCTTCCCTTCCCTTTGCTGATTGACCCCATTTGACTCATCATGTGCAACCGACCTACCACACCCTGGGAAGCACTACGGCACTTTTCATAGTACTTTGGTTACTAGAGTTCTTTGACTATCTCATTTCATCCTCAAAGCAATCTTATGAAGTTGTAGTTATAATGAGGGAACAGGTTTATAGAGGTCAGCTGACATGGCTAGTAAGTGACAACCAAGACTTGAGTTTTATCTTTCTCATTCCTGAACTGAGGCACTTTGTGTTTTGCCATGTTTACTAATGAAGCTGCGATCTTAATAATAGGCTCATTGGCTGCTAATGGGGGGTCCGTTGTGTGGCCTGGAGCAAGTTTAGAATGGTTCATATATAACCATCTAAATATACTATTCTCAATATGTCTGTCTTGGGTTATTAGCATAATATTTTCCTTGAGAAATTTTAGTGACATTAGTTGAACTGATAGCCTGAATGTCACTCAGAATCACTCTGAATCAGATGAGCTGTGAAACTATTTCATTCACCATCCAATTGTATTTTACCTACTCAATCAGACTAGGTATTTTTTTTAAAAAAAGTAATTTGATTTATTTTGTTGTTGTTGAGAATAAACACAGCAAAACATACACCAATTCGACAGCACCTACATGTACCATTTAGTGACATTGATTACATTCTTCAAGGTCTATAGCCATTCTTACCCTCCTTTTCTAAGTTGTTTCCATTAACATAAACTCATTGTGCCCTAAGGTTCCTAGCTAATCTTTTGAGTTGATGTTGTCAATTTGATCCCATATAGATAGTTCTTAAAAGAGTATAATACTCAAGACAGACATTTTTTATTGGTCAAGCTAAACTGTTGTTTGGTTTAAGAAGACTTCAGGGAATATTTTTTATGTAATGTTTAAAGATTAACTCAGGACAATAGTTTCAGGGGTTCATCCAACCTTCATGGCTTCAGGAAGTCTAGAGTCAATGAGAATTTGAAATTCCATTCTACACTCTCCCCCTTTTGATCAGGATTCTTCTATGAAATCTTTGATCAAAATGTTCAGTAAGGGTAGCGGGGCACCATTCACTTCTTCTGGTCTCATGGCAAAGAGGCAGTTGTTCATGAGGGCAATTAGCCACACATTCCGTATCCTCCTCCTATTCCTGACTCTCCTTCTTACTCTGTTGTTCTAGGTGAATAGAGACCAATTTTTGTGCCTTGGATGGCAGCTTGCAAGCTTTTAAGACCCCAGACACTAGCATCGAACTAGGAGGCAAAACCGAGGCAGTAAACATGTTATTAGAGACTAGGCATTTTAAGTTCACAGTTTGAAGGAAACTTTTCTAAAAATTACTAACCTGGACATAAAGGTGGCCATTCAGTGGTTAGAAAGAGGAGATTAAGTAAGGTGAGTACAGGTGCAAATGATTTTATGTACTATGGTGATCTGATATCAATGTTTGGATATATGGGCCAACCTAGAACTCCATTGTTGTTGTTAGCTGCCGTCAAGTCAGCCCCCGACTCTTGGTAAACCCATGTGTTATAGAATAGAACTGCTGCATATGGTTTTCTTGGTTATAATCTTTTACAGAAGCAGTTGGTCAGGATTTTCTCCGTGGAGCTGCTTGGTGGTTTGAACTGCCAACCTTTATGTTAACAGCCCATCTGTCACAAACTGCTTGCACTGCCCAGGCTCCTCAGAACTTCACAATGCATCTTTATTAAATTCATGGCTCTACTGAGCAGCCTGCTCCAGCTTGAAAGCAAATCGGAACTACCACGATGACTGCACATCCAGCCTTTTCCCACTAAATATTCTTAGTGGTTAATCTAGACCTCCTGGGGCTTCTATGAACTTGAGTGGAACCTCTTGGACTTTTTCAGTATCAATCCAAAACCCTGAGCCATATGAAAACAAATTGATCTCTAGGAGTGGAGAGCATGAGGAAAACTGTTTATTCACCCAATTTTTTTCACATTAGGCTTTGGCCTAATTATCAGATAACTGTGGCACAACAATGGGATAACTTTGCGAAACAGCTAAGGCAAATGAATGGTCATTTGCAGTCTTAAAATAGTCTATGGTCAATACATTTAG